GATTTTTCACAATGTTAAAAAGACTTTTTAAATGATAAAAATATAGTTTTTAATAATGAATTAACTTTAAGTAGTAACTAACTCTTAAATGCAAGCAACACAAATACCTTATACACATAAAAAAATTTTTTATTACACGCATCGTTTAAGAAAAAAGACACTTTAATCAGTTTTTGTACAAATGTTATAAACAGTGGCAGATTTTGCTCTCTTTAAGAAACTTCATCATTGTGCCACGTAGGCCTGCTTTCGCTAATAATAGTTTTTCTAATGTGCCATCTCTAATATTAGATCTAAATTTAGTCCTCGTTTCCGCAACAACACTGAGAATCCTCTCACACTCTGCATTACTATAGGGAACTGTCAAGATGGCCAACACAATTCTAGACAGTTCACTATATTTTAAAATTCCATCAGCACCTTTCAGTTTTGCAATTAAACTCCACTGGGTGTCAATCGTAGCTGATTTTATAAACTTCATCCAAGTTTTCTAATTGTAAACTGCTGTTATGCAGCTGTTGGAAACTGTTTCAATTTTTCCTTCCTTTTAGAACTCCTTTCAAGATAATAATAAATATCAACAATGTGTTCATCCACATTTACTGGTAAAGAAGTTGCCCCTTTTCAGCTGCTAAATTTAAGAGGTGACAGGTGCACCTCATAATCTGAAAATCTGAATTTCCTTTCTTAAGATGCCTGCAACACCAACCTTCCAAGCCTACCAATATTGGTGCATTATCGGCACCAAGTGCTAAGCAATTATTCAGAGTGCCTGCAGTTTTCTTTTAAAGTTTTAATAATTAGCTGTGCTATATTAAAGCCTGTCAAATGTCCTTCTAAAGGGGGAACAAAAAGTAAACTGCACTCAATTTCTGAAGACTGTGGATCAAAAAAGAAACAACAATTAGATACAGTTTTGAATCGGTATTATTGCTTCCATCAGTAGAGAGGCAGACCGGAGCTGTTTTAATGCAATCAATAACTGAAGATTTATTTTTCAAACCCATTTCTTTAACAATTGCACCTGTTTTGATTCTTGCACCTTGAGTATTTCTTAGCAATTTCACTATCGGGAAACATTTTTCTAAATAAAGCTGCAGCGTGATCCGATGCATTCAGTGGCAGGTTGTGCTCCAGTAAAAAGTCAGAGAACAGACATTCTGCATTAATAACTTTTTGGTCCTTTGTTTCCGAAGAAAAATTTAATTTTTCGTTTTTTTCAAAACAACTCATGTTATCCTTGTGTTTTTGTGTACGCACATGTTTGAGAACATCCGCCCTTCCAACATACAAAAATCGAAAAATCGCAACGACAGGCGGTACACATCGCAAATTTATTACATTTCCTTGAGGAAATAATGGAAGGAAAGTCAACTGTGTACGATTTTTGAAACGTACACGAGTATTTCACCTTTCTCGCAGACGTAACAAAAGATGATAATTTCTAAAACTATTTCCCTAAGGCTCACACAACTCAGGACAAAATGAACGAAATAACTAAAAAGAACGTCCAAATGACAACTTGCTTTGTCCTCATTGGCTAATATATGCCAGCTGACACGCAGTGGAGCTCGAAGCCCATTGGAGAACTGGAGAATGACGTTTCTGAATACGTATAATGCTCTCACTCACAAAGCAGAAGCTATCTGATTCGCAAGGTTTTGTTTTAGGTATAATGTAGAGAAAATTCAATTGCTTTCAGATGTCCAAAAGCACTTTTTTTATTCATATAACAAAGTATTAAGCCAAGTTGCATAAAAATCGTGAGAAATTTTAAGAATAAGAAAAAGTCGGGAGAAATATATTGTAAATCGGGTTGGCGGGAGAGCGGTCGAAAATCAGGAGTCTCCCGCCTAAATCGGGAGAGTTGGCAACTCTGTCTATCTGTTTTGATGCAGTGTTGTAGCTTCATGTAGAGTTCCTGGGGTTGCAATCCATTTAATAGACTTTAACGGTTAAAGGATATTAAAATTAAAAAAAGCCACTAAAGCAACAAAAGGGATAAGCTGTTTTGCATTATTTTAAATCTCACTCGCTGCAAGTAATAAATTTTAAATTTAATTAATTTTACATTTTTGTGCTGTATCATGTAATGATTAATGAAAGGCAATAACTCACTTTAACATGTTGATATTTTAAGGGTTAGCACTTAATTAGAAATAACTAAATTAGGTTGTTAGCTACCCTTAGTCATTATAGATTTATACGGCCACTATTACATATTATTTAATTTAAAATATTGTTTTAAAAGCACTGTTAAAATTGAAAAATTAATTTTTCAGAAAAAATTGATGCATATTCTGAGAAAAATGGAAAAATTTTTACCATAAAAATTTTTTAAAAAGCTACTTTTAATTAATTACATAGCTATTTTGCTTTTGCTAACTGTTTCATAAATTGCGCTTTATAGTATTTGTTACCTTGTTTATTTTTTAGATTCAAAATATTCTAAAACTAAGTCGCCAAAATGGAAAGCAATCACAGAGAAATATTTATAATATCACAGGGAAAAAAAATGTTTTATTTTTATGTTATTTTTTTTAAATAAACTTCAATATGTTATCATTATTTAATAAAATTTATAAAAATTTATAAATGTTATTAATGTTTTAACAAATCATTAAAAAAATCCCAGTCTCCAAATTAAAAATTTTCTATAGAAATTGATCTTAAAATCGCCAAAATGTTGACAAGTTGCCAAATTTAGAACTGTTTATTAAAAAAATTCATATCCCCAAAAGCGAAAGGTTATTTGAGAGCTGTCCATTAGAAAAAATGAAATAATTTCGAAATGCTTATGTTTCATTTCTTGCGCAGAAACTTGAGTATTGCACTGTTTACATTAGAAATAGGAATGAATTATAACCTATAAACTATTCAAAAGATAATCATATTTGTCAGTGAATCGCCAAAAATATTCCTCCAAAATGCTAATTTACACCCAAAATGGCAATCATAAAAACAGACAGAAATTTCAGTTGATTACAATTAAGGACCTTTTGCTGATTTTGGCCTAAATTAAGAACTGTATGAACCCTGTTTTAAGCAGTCAGTGATGGGTGAAGAGACATCGATTCATCATGTAGCCCCAGAATCAAAACAGCAGTCAATGGAAAGAAGACATACAAGATCTCCAAAAAGGTGAATATTCAAAACATTAATGTCAATCCAGAAAACTTGTGTATTGTGTTTTGGGATATGAGAGGGATTCTGGTAGTTGAATTTCTTCCTAAAGGTGAATCCGTTAATGTTGCTTGATACTGTGAGACTTCAAAAAGGTGTGTAATTCAAAAGAAAAGGAAAAGAGTGCTTAGTTAAAGAATTGGCTGGCTTCATGACAATGCTTAGCTCAATGCTGATGGTACGCAGACTGAGGAATTTAGTTGGCAGCAGTTCAATCATCTCCCCGACAGGCCACACTTGGTACCGTCTGACTACCATTTCTTCCTGCAGATGAAGCATCACCTGGAAGTCAGCTCTTTCAAAATAAGGACAATAAAAACACTGTGAAGAATGGTTGTCATCACCGGTAGAAACTTTCTTTGAGGAAGGTATTAGTAAGATGATCTCAACATCAACAGAAACTATGCAGAAAAATAGCTCAAGAAATGACCTTTAATGTGAAAACAACACTGGCTTGAAAAAACATTTGTGTCTCTTTTTCTACGAAGTTAAACTTACTTCCTGGATATGCCTCATATTTGGCATATCTTGAGAGAGGAGGCAGATGAAAATGATATAACAAAAAGAATGCATATGAAAATGGTGACATCTATTAAGATGAATGCATGAATACGTAAACACCAACGATGACTCAAAAATATCTGGCAAAAATGTAAAGGCAAGTAGAGGGGACAAAAATAAACAGATTTTATCATGAAATATGTATACAGAAAAGGTGCTGTTGAGTAGTAGGTATAAGACATTTCCTGGCATAAATTGCCATTTCCTGACTGGATTTTGATCATAAGGTATTGCTACAAAAACGTGGAACTCCCCTACATGCATTTTATATCTTGGGGTGTGGAGAGAGAAAAAATGGAGCAACTGCTCCATTTTCAACTGATACACTGATTTATAAGAAAATACAGCTATGAAACAGAATAATATGTTATTAGTTTATTTTGGTTAAAAAATAGGGATAGTTGATGATGACTGTATGTATTCTTCTGTTTTGAATTCAGACATATTCCACAGACCATTTTGTATTAAAATCTTCACAGAATTACATGCTGAACCTCAAATCTGTTTGGGATCAAATTTGCTTTATGATCCTTTTTCTTTAATAATGCTCTTTACAAAATTTTATGATATACCTTAGATATCAGCAATCTTAATCTATAATATGTTTTCAATCTTCAAAATGCTAATAATTGGTCCATTTTCCTCCGAAAAAAAATCTCGTAAAAACTGTATGAAAATTAATTCATAAAAAGTAAAAATAGACCTTCTAGCAATTTTCCTACAGATGCTTTAACACATAAATAAAACTGCTTTTTGAAAAACCACTTTTTAAAAAAATTATTTATGATTACTGTCAAATACAAAAATTATTTTTGAAAGAGATACTGTTGTCACATAAATATTTCTTAATTTGTTGATATAATAGAAAATAACAGAGGTATAACAAATAAATTGATAATAAAAAGATACATCGCTTCAACAGTAAAAAGAATAAAATTGAACAGCATCAAAAGTGTAATTTTAGTCAATGGATCTAATAGTTTGGCTAGGTATTATAATTTATCAGCTTTAAAATTAAAGGAAATAAGATCCTTAAATATGAATTTAGATTGGTCAAAACAAAAATTCCATGAACTTCTTGCTCAGCTTTCTGTCTGCGAGCACTGCATTAAATAAATAAGAAAAAAATAAAATAAAATAAAAAAATTTAATTAAATTAAAAAATAAACCTAAGAATGAATCAATCAAAAGAAGAATATTTTCGGAATGTGGGCAGGGGATGAAAATTAATATACTATGCATTTACAGATACAAACCTTCAGAGTCTAGAGCTAGTGTATGATGCTGACCACCACTTATTTTCGACCATGATTTGCCATTAAAAGATGAGATTTGCTTCGGAATGTATATGACTCGTTGATTTGCATAACCTACAATAAAAGAAACAGCAGCTGACTTTCATACTTGCAAATAATGAGCACAAAGTAGATTGATTAATAAAAGAACTGAATATGGAAAAAAAAAGTTATGTAATTCGTAAGATATGAAAGCAAAAAATTCTATCTGAGCACTCAAAGATACAGAAATCAACCTGTTATGTACTAAATAAAAAACCACTACACTACAGCAGTTTAATTTTATTTTAACATAAAGATGTTAATACAGCCTAAATATAAGAATTCAGAACCAGAAGAATTATTGTTAACAGATTTTCTTTTTATGAACCAATTCTGCCATGGCAAATTTTCAAGGCCCATTTTCTTTCTTCTTTATATATTCATTCAAACTAATATTGCATTTTCCTCAAAAGAAAACTAACAGAAAAATTAATTAAATTACAAATTTAATTTAATGTTAACACTCTAAAAAGTACACATTGATAACTATATTGTCATTATTTCTATAATGAAAATATTTCTGTAGTGCACATTCTATCAGATCATATACATCACACATAAGTACACTGGCGTGCAAAAATTAAGAACGAGACAGAAAGCATAAACTAGCATAACTAGCATAAAGTGAAACAAGGCAACATAATGGGCTGAACGACCAATCAAGAGATAGTCTTGGGAGCAGTACAAATGTCACATGAATTAGGGGAAGAAGTGTTGGAAGAGAAGTTGCACATGGATGGTGTGTGCTCAACAATTTGGTGAACGCTATTAATAAAGCTAAGCTACAGTGATAAGTGTGACCAGTATAGCAGAGGAGTTCAGGCTCGCTCCCGGCAATGCTTTGCGAATATGGAAAGCATTTTAAATGGCAGGAATCTATTAGTTCAAGTGATCAGCAGTGGTCGCCCATGAACAACAATGGTGGTTGGTTACCAGTATCTTGTATTACTGATAAAAAGAGACAGGCAGAAGATATCACAACACACATATATAACAGAGTATTGAATGTCCAATATCACATTTTACCATGAACAGGAGATTGCACAAATGTGGTCTACATGCAGGATGACCAGTATGGTGTGTGCCATTGATGGCTGCTCATTGGAGATACCAGATTTTTTGTGGTGCTAGGAACACAAGAAATGGAACATCAGGAGTTGAGTCAAGCACTCTTTATGGATGACAGCCAGTTTAGTCTGAAGAGTTATTCTGGACGTATATACATCTGGCGATAGAAGGGAACACCCTATATCAGGGATGGGCAAACTCCGGCCCGCCGGAAGGTTCTATCCGGCCCACGTTACATTTGAAAACTCATCATCCTTAAATTTTGGTGAACTTTCCTCTATACATTTAAAAAAAAAAAAAGGGGGGGGGGGAAGGGCAGCCTGATTTTTCAAGTTTCAGCTTAATACTTGAACACTGATATACACTTACATTTATCTCTGCAGAATGAAATGTACGAAATTAAAGAACAAACTCAAATAATGAGAAACACTTATTTATGCCTTGTGCACATATACATCTAAATATGCAAAATTAAAAATATATAAACAATAAATTCTAACTTTAATTTGCAGTAGTCTCTTGAATCTCCATTTTAATTTAGATATTTCCTCTTTCTCCCCTAAAAATAGTAACGGATTATAACAAATTGCTCTAAATTATGTTATTTTAAAAATAATCCATGTCAAATGATTTTGGCATAATGCTAATGATGCAGGCATTTACATAAATCTTCAGCAAATAAGATTTTAAATTGAAATTTATTATTAACTATTAAATGCAAACCAAAATCAAATCGTTCAGAATTTTGCTTTCATCTTAAATATGATACATTCACTCTCTGCTTCTCTGTCTAGTTACATTACTGTTGCTGCTTTCCTTCTCACAGCAACATCTTGAAAAATGTAACAGGTTCTAAAACAACAAATATGCTTACTGCACCTTTTTTATCCATGCTGATTCAAAAGTGTCTATCAATGAGAATAAAGAAATAATAAAATCAACCATGATTGCAACTACTTTTTCACATATGTCTATGTCAATAACTTCCATATTTCATATGTAGGAAAAAAAATACATAGCAAACTTTTAAACATATGTAAAGTTGCAGCAAGATAAAATAGTTAAGAGATTTAAGTTTACAGCTAAAATACACTATTTAATAATATTAACGTCCTTCACACTAGTTTGTAACAAGCTCATGGCAAATTCACACAAAGCTATAATGTCCTAAACTTGATCCATGTTTCTTTATCAACCTGTCTGCTAATCCATGTGGTCTATTAGCTTTAGCGAAAATTTTATTTTATCTATATAAATGTACAGAGGGAAAGAGAAGTGAGTCTTACCTAAATGATTGTAATTATTTAATCCAAATGCATAAATCAAACCAGACTGCTGAGCACGTAAAAATGTAGCATACGAACCAGTCCAAATGCTATCTATTAGAACAGGTCGTCGGGCAGATGCTGTAACAGGCACAGCACTGGGTTCCAATAAGACAGCTGGAATACAAAAAATATTCAATGGTAAAATAAATGTTAATTCATAAATCTGAAAAATGATAGATAGTAAATGACATTGGAACTGATATGTTATAGCAGTCTTAATGAGAAACAGATGATTTCTGATATATAAGGCACATCCGTAAAGTAACCGGACAGTTTTTTATAAATGGGAAAAAGATTATTATCCTTCATATAAATTTATCTCCTTCAAAATAATCGCCTGAAGAGTCTATACAATTTTTCCAATACATCTTCAGGTATTCAAAAAACTGTTTGCAACACATGCCTAACATTTTATTTAATATCTGATACGTTTTCCAGTCTCTGTCCTTTCATGACCATCTTAACACTCTGGCTGCTCATCGCGCGATTTCCATGGGCAACTCAAATATAGCAAAATCTGCTCATCCTGCGATTTCCGCGGGCATGTGTTTTTCGTCCTTTATTGAGGAGCGCATCCCGTTTTTTCCCCGTTTAACAACTGAAATAAATTATATACAGTAATAGACGTTTTGTTTATGCTTTGGCCAACAGATATTGTTAATTGTCCACTAAATTGAGGCGTTTGAAGTCACGTGGTATTACCGCTCAAACTCCACTTTTTTTTTACAGAATAGCTGCTAGAAAACATTCAGCGATTATCTTGATTATTTAATTAAATTATTGAATTATTAATTAGATTTATTTAATCTGGTGCAAAGACTGTGAAGTTGGACTTTGCCTTGAACCCTGTTTTAAACTCTATCATACTAAACTGCATTTCTAAGATATTTTTCCCTCAGTGCTTTATATTTTCTTAAATTTTATATATTTTACTTTTTTTATATTATGCAATAAATAGAAATTAACTGAAATTTCACTGAAATTTATTTAAAAAAAATTTTTTTTGGTGATAACATGCGAAATTGGTTTCTCTGCAACTTAGTTTCTCATGATAAAAATCTATATAAAAAAATATTTTCTAGAAAGGAAAAATGCATTTTTCAATTCTCCAATATATACAGATTTAAAATACGAGGAAAGAAAAAAGGGGGGAAGGAAAAACACTATTTTTGAAGCGATTTCGATCCACAAATTTGAGCAGTCAGAGGGTTAAGCTTTAGTAAAAAGTAAAAAATCAACGGGTGATAAACTGGGAGAATATGATGGGCAATTTATTAATGCAATTGAATACTTTGCAAGATACTGTTGTACAGACAATACTGTTCATGGATTACCATTACAGCGTAAAAGAAACCACTGGCAATAATCAAAATGTTCCTTCCCAACTCGCTTATGTTGTTTTTTAATCAAAAAGTATATCCCTGTAAAAATACTGATTAACTGATTGATTTTCTGAAATAAATTCATGGTGCCTATGTCCTTTATAATAAAGAAAGGTAATCAGTACCATAGCCTTTGATTTTGCCATCGGAGCTTTTTTTTGTACAGAAGATGGTCCTTTCCACTGTGCATTTTGTCTTTTGCTGAGTCATATTTGTAAACATCACGTCTCATCTCTCACTATCATACACAGGGTTCATAGCCACATTTTAGTTAAAAAAATAAGCACCTATAAGTACTTTTCAAGCACATTTTAAGAAAAAAATAAGCACCTGTCTAATTACATTATACACAACTGCATAACCTTAAAAATTAGACTTGTGATTTAAAATATGAGAAATGCAGTATTTATTAAGAGAGAATAAGCATTACCTCAACTATGGAAAATAATTACTTTTTTTTTTCTTTAATTTTAAATAACAGTTTAATTTACAGAACTAGTTTACAATGAGAGAAAAAAAAAAAAAAACTATGCAGAACTAAATTATATTACAAGATTTAATGATGAAATTTCAGTTCAAAATGAGAGAAGAAAATAAATAATAATATGGCATATTTATTGTATTCGCTTGGAACCTAATAATAAATACAATTTATTTTTCCACTCATATTGATATTTAAATAATTTAAATCTAAATTCTGAACATTTTCTAAATTTTCATTGTATATCAGTTTTCCCTTAACAGATATTGCAAGCAAAGTAATTTAAGTAAAAAAGAGTAACATTTCTGAAATCAGAAGACAGAAATTTGCTTAACAGTAAAAGCTTAACTAACCCGCATACTTGGAAATTGGCAAATATTCGGACAGTCGAGCGTAACTTAAAAAAGAGGAGCTGAAGGGGGTAGACTGTAGCTGCTCTTTAGATTTTTCCGCTAAATAAATGCTTTTGACATTTCGATATGTGCATCATATAAAAATAAACCAATGAAACTGAAAAATATTCTGCTTAGCAAGCACAGTAAAACTCTCATAAACAAATCTCGGACAGAACATCAAAATTAATTATCTCTGCAAGATATCGCAAATGTTATTGCGCAATATGTGTGCCATAATTCTTTCCTACGTGATATTATGCAATCGGAATCAACAGCTGCCGGGATTGGGAGAATAAAGAATTAAATAACTGGGGTGTTTTTCATTCTAATTTTCAACAGACGGCGTTAAATTTCCAGAAAAGAATCATTCTTCGCTTAGGTTGGTAGACCACAGAACTTTTAGTCCTATTCAATCCAGATTGGAAAGTGATTAAAAAAAAAAAAAAAAAAAAAAAAAAGTAAGTCCGTTGCTTGTTTTGCAGCGAACTGTAACAATTTCAATATTCAAGATTTTGCGGAGAAAGGGGAGAACCTTCCAATCCTCGTACTGTATAATGTATTGGCCAAAAAAATGAAATTCTTTTGACTATTCGATTACTTTCCCTTTATTTAAGCCATTCCGAATATTATTTCTTAGAAAGCTAATCTGTGTTAAAACACAATCATTTTTGGAAGTTTACTATACTTCAGCAGTTACTGCAACTATGTTATTATAAACATTCATACATACATATGCTCATAATATAAGCATAATGATCATAACGAACACGAATATGAACTGACCAAGCGGAACGAGAATGCAAATTATTAAGATCTTGATAGAAATTCAAACATGTATGATATTTGGGTGGGAGGAAAAGAATGCCGAATGTACCGGAATTTTCTACTGCTTTCGCAATTCTTTAACCAATAGAACGACAGGCACCTGCACCTGCCTGTACTCTTCGTGCACACCAAAGGTTATTATTAATGCAGAGAAAGGGGGAAAAGCTATTTCTGGGAGTATGATTCACCATCTGACATTCCATATTAGGAAGAAAAGTTGTTTATTTATTTTCGGCTTTGGTACTGCAAAAAATAGCGTGTTCATTTAAAAAAAAAAAAAAAAAAAAAAAAAAAAAAAAAAAAAACCCACTAAAAGCAAAAAATAAACTAAAAAAAAAAAATAGCACTAAAAACAAAAAAATAAGGGCTTTATAGAAAAAGTAAGCACCTATAAGGGCTTTTATATTTTATTTTCAAATATAAGGACTTATAAGCACTTATAAGGACCGCTACGAACCCTGATACAGTTTATGAAATTGTTGTTTTGTCTCAATCAATTTTTCATAGCAAGCTTTAGAGCCTTCTTTTTGCTTTTCTGTCAAAATCCAAGGCATAAACACCACATTTTCCAGATTTTCAATTAACCTACAGATTCCTTTGCTTATTCCAAGCATGTTTGAAAGTTGCTGAGTTGTTACATATATATCTCAGCTTTAACCAAAGAGCCAATATTCTCCACATTTTCCTTATGCTCTAAAGTTGAAGGGTGCCATATCTTCGATTCATTTTCAATACTTTCGTCCCACTCATACACTTGTGTTCTTGACAACGATGCATCCCCATATACCATTCAAATCATCTCGAACATTTTGGTAGCAGATCTCGGTAAATGAAAATGACTTCACTGTTTTGATATACAAACTACAAAATAACCAGCTTAAACCGGCTTTAACAAAAATTGTAATGTCACTCTTTCTAAATATACATTTATTCCTTCACTTTATTTTATTTAATTTCTCCTGTTATTTTATGGGCACATGTAGTAATAAGCAATTCCTTTAATGTCTATGGTTTTCAATCTGCATATGTATACATAATTTATATTTCTTTAGCTCATGAAAATTTTCTCAGGTTTTTCATTCCTAAATATTTAGCATGCTCACTATTCTCAATCTTGTGTCTGACTGAAGGATCAGTGATATAGCAAAACAAATGCACAAATAAGGTTTGCCACAACTTAAGAGTCCTATCTAGCAGAGTTTATGTTCAGGCATCCCATCACCCCTGAGATATGTTTGACATATTATTAGTAACAAATGCTGAACTTCAGCCATCAGAAAGTGTCCATTTAAGATGAATTTTGGGCACATTTTTATACGCTGTTTAATTAAATTGTTAACAATATCATATCAAATAAAATAAATCAGTCATCTTAAATTACTTCTGTGTGTACATTAAATAAATTGTGGACTGTAGACATTGAATGAACTGCTTCTGTATATAAATGATAACCATTAATTACTCACAAAAACTGCTACAACATAGAAGCCCCCTTGTTTTAAATATCTATAAAACATTTATGCATCAGACAATATCACTAACCTCTTCCTTTTCGACCTCCATGAAGGCAAGCTCGTTCAGGTAGTCTGCCTAACTGACCAGTTTCACCACAACCACAAGTATAAACAATACCTTTGTCTGACAGGCATACTATATGTTCATTTCCAGATGAAATCCTAACAATTTTAATATCTTTTAATAGTTTTACGGGTTTTATTTGCTTTGCACCATCTGCAGTTAAACCCATAGGTCCATCTCCACTCTGTAAAATCAAAATTGCTATATAAAAATAGTGTCATGTTACATAAAAGTTTGCATATGTATTTTAGATTTTATACTATTACACAGATTGTTAGGAAAAGATGACTACTTGCTTTATATCTCTAACTATTGATCCTAAATGCACATGTCCATTTACAAAGATTCTCAAATAAAATATAGAATTTCATGAAAATGATTTTAGCACAGGAAGGGGAAGGAGGCAAAAAGTCCAAATCATAAAAATATTCATTTAGAAATCTTAGTCAAATTCAATTTTTAATTTCCCTGATTAAGTATAAATTTTAGTTATTAAACTGAATAATTTACTGTGTTTACTACAAAATGCAAAGTAAGAATTAAAATTGTAAAAAATTATTATTGCAAAGAAATTGATTATTATTACTCACTTATTATTGGAAAGAAAATGAAAAAAAAAAAAAAAAAATGCATATGACAAGGGTAGCCAAAATGTATCACAATAGGAACCACATAGTAACGATCATGAAAGCTCATGAGCTGCAACTAGGCTTTCCTGCAGCCACAAAATGTATTTATATCACTTAAAAAAAAAAAAAAAAAAAAAAAAAAAAAAAAAAAAACTTTTGAACTGATGAGAATTTCTCATTTTTTTATGCAATTAATATGGTTACATTTAAATGGAAATAAATACATCTTGTTTATTCATTTTTATGTTCAGAAAGATACAGCCCACGAAAATATAAATTTGAAACATATATTGTACAATTAAACAAAGCATTCCCTAGAGAGAAAAATCCAAGTTTTTTTTTTTTTTTTTTTTTTTTTGGGTTTTCTTTATTCTTTTACATTTACAACAGTTGTTAGGTTTTATTAGAAGTAAACAGAAATTTATAGAATAAGTGTTGGTCTTTATGAATAAAATAATGTAAATTTTTTTCTTCCTTTGAGTAAAGCATAAATAAATTTTTAAAAACAGATTGAGTGTTGTGTATTATTTTTAAATCATATGCAGTCTTTTACAAAGAATAAAAATAGGATAGAAGAATATGGACAGCACACAATGCAGATAAACTGTTATTCAGTAAAGAAAAATCCTTTTAAAATAAGCTATCAGCTTTTTTAGGCTTTTGTATAAAAATTAATATCTTTTTTTAACCCATACAGCTGATATGAGGACCAAAACAGTGAGATCAAATCTAACTTTAGGCATTTAAATTAATTCACCAGATACGTACTGGATTAAAAGCTACATTTTTTACGGTACTTATGTATAAGCGAAAATTTCTTAGCACAGTTTGGGGAAATTTTACGGAGGTGAAAAGCAATGACATTTTGTTGTAAAACATTTATTATATACATACATACATACGAGGTAGGATTCAAAAGTTCCCGGACTGAGTCTATAACGTAAAAAACATTATGAATTAAACTGCAGAAACACATCCTCCTTCGAAATAAGACCCTTGTGCAACAATACACTTTTGCCAGCGGCTGTAAAGTTAATCGAAGCATGTCTGAAATCCATTTTTGGCCATGTCCTTTAATTCAGCCTGCGATGCACATTTCACTTCATCCGAAGAACCTGCAAGCGTCTTGCCAGTTTAGAAAATAGGAAGAAATCGCAGGTTGCGAGATCAAGTGAGTAAGGAGGAAAAAGCAAACAGCTGTTTTCATTTTTGCAAGAAAGTCATTGACGAGTAAAGATTGGTGAGCAGGAGTGTTGTCATGCAACGGCACCCATGACTGTTTAGCCCACATTTTTGGTCTCTTCTTCCGAATTGACTCATACAAATGATGCAGGATTTCGACGTAGAGTTCTTTGTTCACAGTGTGTCCTTCAGGGATAAATTCCAGATGCACAATGCCTTGGATATCAAAGAGTACCTCTAGCATGACTTTTTCCTTCAGACTTGGTTTGCGGGTTGTACCAAAAACACAATTTCTCGTCTCCAGTAACAATTCTGCCAATCTTTGTCAATAACCGAGATTAAGTACCGCCGCAGACACCTTTTTGATGTTTTCATCAGTGCACAAAGTGATGGGACGGCCACAGGATTCATTGTCTTCAGCACTTTCCCTGCCGTCTCTGAAATGATGATGCCACTCAAAAGCTTGCATTCTCGATAACGTTTCACTTCCGTACACATGCTACACACGCTTCAACATTTCGAAAGTCTTTGTAGTAATCTTTCCCAAGCGAACACAAAATTCGATATTGATTCTCTGTTCAACTGACGCCATTTCTTTATATCGCCAGTTACTAAATGCACCTGCCTACAAAAAGCACTGTCGAAGCGAGCTTTTGACCATGTGATTTGGGACAAACCACTTCTAGAAAAGGTAAAGAATGTAGTAACACAAAAACATTCTTGTAGTCGCAATACTGCAGAAAAATTTTCTCATAATTTCGTTATAGACTCAGTCAGTAAAACTCATTCTAAACTCAGTCAGGGAACTTTTGAATCCTACAACGTATTAAGAGATAAATATTTTATGTTTCAACTATATATTTGTTTAAAAAAAAAACAATCAATAAACTTTTTTTGTTTTCTTCTTTCTGTGAAAATTTCATGTTAAAAAAAAAAAAAAAAAAAAAAAAAAAAAAAAAAAAAAAAGAGCATATCTTTAGAATTTCCGATACACAGTCTCATGCGCTGGAGATAAAACTGTTTTTTCTGTATAATGTTCCCAATGCTCACTTTGAAATCCTTGATTTTGATAATCCAAAATTGGTTAAAGTTTTACAAAATACGAAATCGATAATAAAACAAATTCCAGATTTCAAATTTGGGCTTCCAGATGCCCATATTCGCAGTAGGATTAAGTCATTGGATGGCTCTATGTACCCTTTTTTTATCACAATGAGAGAAACCATTCATTAATTTCAAAATTCTTCATTATTTAATTTCTTCAAATATAATACAGGGCGACAATATTTGGTGGCAACAGTACGAAAAGTGAAACGGACATTCAGAGAGATTCGGCGCAAAACGAAAACAATAGTCCCTCAGGGACAAAGCTCCTTATATATATATTGGCGATGCTGATTATTAAAACTGAAGAAATGTCATATGCATAGTTGCCTGAAGAATTGTTATGTATGTGGTTATCAAAGTTTGGCAAATTCTGAAATTTTGATAAGGTAGCTGAGATAATATGCAAGTACCTTTCACCTCCAAGGTTGAACATTCGAATCTTTTATTCTTAAATTCCAGATCTTGAATCTTAGAGCTTTTCTTATTATTCGTATCTTTTGAAGCATAACCTAAAAATTATTAGATATTTAAAGTCAAACTCTGGAATGACTAGTTTTATTGGTTCCCAGTATGTATAGAGGAATTCACTAAAAAAGAATACGATTGGAATATCACTGGCAACTGATTCATCAGCATCATTTATGATGACCAAACACCGTTTCAGTTTGCATCCTACGAAATCTGCAGAGTTTTAAAGTAATTCATCAATGAAATTTCCCTAAATGATTCTCTAATTCTCTTGATCATTTTCTGGACATTGATAATACAGTAATTCATGACATGGTAAATAAATGCTGCACTGCTCACATATTACAAACAAATTTAGAAGCACTTATGTAGGAACACTGAGATGTAGAAACGTAGCAATGTTGTTTGGCAGAGAATGTAATATGGAAGCTTACCAAAAGAAGGTTTTGGTTTAGGTTCTCAAGATTTTAAGTTTCGAATAAGCTACGTCATCAGCGTTACACAAGCCATGTGACATAGATTAATCTAGAAATGGCGCAGTTCAGTTAGTATTATTTTAAGAAGTAAGAGAGGAAATCCCAAATTAAAAATGAGAAAGAAGTTATTGTCAAATTAAATTATAAAGCTGATTTACATATTTTTTATCTTCCATATATATCTACCAAACTATTTAGCCATAGCTGCCGAATTTTGAGCTGTCTTTCATATACACAGTATTCAAAATTAAAGGTACAGAAAGAAAACATGCACGTGATTACTGTAATTAACTGACTTCAGAAATGGAGATTTAATAGTAAAACTTAATTCCTCAAATTTCTATGTACATGCACAAATGTTTGATGGAGGAGGCCTTTTCTGATATAGCAGATGTCTGCAAATTAATTTAGTTCCTAAGTTTTGTCACACAGGTGTCAGAATCAACCTTATTCCAGCTGTTAACTGCTGAGCCCATTAAGACCATAGCATGATTTACTGTCTCATCTTAAACAACTTCTTAGTAAAATATCTTTTACTCAGAAGAAAATTTAAAATAAAACTTTTTTTATTTAAATATCAGCCTAACAGTTATTCAACCCTTATATAAAAAATAAATATCCTCAGCTTGCAAGAAAATAAGAAACTACAGTTTAAGAAAAAAATAAAATATTACTTGCAAAACAAAGTGTGTTTGAAAGCTTCAGCTCAGGCCTGTGATTAGTCTGCCTTCAGTCTATTGACCATTCTCCACTTCATTCGCCAAATATTTGTGGCTATTGATTTACCTGATACTTTATAAAACTTGCCCAAATCTTGCATGAAACACGGTGAATGTCATGAAGGAGTATGAACACACAGATCACTGAAAAACCCTTGTGTACTTATATCCCCTCCATCTTCATAGCTCCACAGACACACACATGTACACTTATGTATTCGACTTTAAATATTTGCATAATGCTTTGGCAGCCTAATTAGAACCTCTGGTTTAGTACTTTTCTCTTAATTTTCAGACCACTGTGCATAATATATGCATCTCCCTCCTACCTTTTCATCTTGTTTCCTCTTTCATAGTGTTCATGAATTATGTTACATTTTCGGTGTAAGCCTGCTTGGATGGCAGACTAGCTAGACTGAATTCTAAATTTATTAGCAGTGCCCTCAAAATCTTCCAATCAATTTTTATAAATGCACTCCTATATTAATCTCTTGATAGCAGGACTTTAAAGCTGAATGTAAGTTTCCACTTAAGAATACATTTATTTTATTTAAAACTGAATGCAAATTTCCACTTGAGTTCTGCAGGGAATGGCATTTTGAAGTGAACAGCATTTGAATTGGAATCCGTAGGTGTATGGGAACAGTGCGAATTCAGAAACTTAAACCTTACACTACAGAAATGAACGTTTACAGCATTAAACTCAAACAGAAATTCAAAGTATATTACGTGAAATTTGTAGCGATCAGTTCGTGGTTTGTCTATTGGTCTAAATTTTTAGAAAAAGATGTATCAGGCGATGTGTCTTCAGAGATCAGGAAAATAATAAATATCAACAAATTAAAGAGAGAGGTATCAAAGCACCAGTTCTTAAACTGTGGTACAATTTTTACAATAAATAAATAAATAAATGTTCAAAATGAATGCAAAATTGTGCCCCTTTTAAAATTTTGTTTTAATCCTTATTATTCAAAAACAAATCTATTTTCTAAGTTTTTGACTTTTATGACTCTAGCTTTAATGTTGAAATGACGATTTTTCCAAAAGCTTCGAAGAATTTCCCGTCCAAGAATCAAAGTGGCACTCCAGTCGTAGTATACTTATTTATAATATTATTATAATTAAATAATATAAACTTAAAGGGTTTTATTCTTTGATTATATACACTCCATTTAGGATGCATTGATTTTTAATGGCGAAATGCTTTTATGGTGGTACATATATTTTTTGTTTCATATTTATGTGGTACAAAATTTGAAAAGTTTGAGAACCCCTGCACCAGAGGCAGGACGATGGGTTCAAATGCACTGGGAGGCAATATTAAGGATTAAAAAAATTTAGAGGCACCAGGTGGCAAAAAAACTTGCGTTTGTGTTAACCTACTGTGATATTTGTTGTGGGCTAGAAAGAAAAAAGTTCGCCAAGCAACAAGCAGGAATACATCACAAGCTAAAGTGATTTTATCAGCTTCATTATTCCTTACCTTTTATGATGTTAAAGGGAGAAGTTTGTGCCCATTGGTCCTTTATTGCTCGATGCAACATTATCCAAGATTTGATGATGAAGGTGAAATATTTGCGAATCGAATAGAGGCAGTTGATAAAACGTGAATTAAAATTCTGACCAGAGTTGAAATTGTTATCAATCCACTGAAGAAGTCCATTCTCTGTGAAACTCTTAAATGCTCTTGGTGAAATATATGTGGACCTCTGTCTAGGATTATCAAGGAATTATCAGAAAATATGGAGTTTAGTGTCGACAAAAATGTAACAGCAGCATAATACTGCAATTGGTTGCAAAAATTTGAGAGGGAAAATGGGATATATTCTACAAAGAAAGAAAGATGTGACTTGTTTAGCAGTGAAGAATGAATTTTGAAGACATCAAAAAGTTGTGATAGTCCTTTAACCAAGCATGAGCTAGAAGATTTATCTCACGAAGCATAAAATAAATCCCCAGATTTTAAATTCTTCCCAAATTGAAAGAATTCCTGTGTGAACAATAGTTTTACTTCTTGAAAGAGGTTTCTTCAGCAATTACCCAAGCCATTCAAAGACTGAATGAAAATAGTGATTGATGCAACAGTGTTGAAACAAAGATTTAATAATGAAGGTGAAATATTTCCATGCTGAATAATGGAAATTGACAAAATGTGAATTAAAAACTTTCCCAGAATTAAAATCATTGTTAGACCAGTGGAGATCAGTCAATCCATTCTCTTTGCAACCCCAAATTTTCAACATGCCCAACTAATGATGAATTAAATAATGATGTCTGCATAAGATTACCAAGAAATAATAACAAAACATATTTTCATGTAGAAAAAAAATGTATCTGCATTCTATTACTGTGAATAATTGTAAAATTGTGTAAAAATGACCTAATTTGCTTATGTAATTTGGAAGAAAACCTCATATCAGAAAGCTGTGATTGCTTTCCTAAGTACAACAAGGTTTATCTCACCACCAACAAAATCCCAGATTTCAAAATTTTACCCAACTCAAAAAGTCCCTGCATGGACAGTGATTTTTCCTTCTTGAAAGATGTTTCTTCAGCACTTTAGTCATTCAAGGACTGAATAATACTCTACAAGGAATAGCAAATCTTATGAGACATTGAATCACAACCTTTGCTGCAAAGCAATGGGGGTTAAACAGAAGGAATGTGAACAGAAACTGCCTGAAATAAAATTAGTCTGACAGGCAGGTCTGGGGGCAGGAGCTAGATTTGAAATTACTTTTTGTATTTGCATTTTGTGCTGTCCTGATGCTCATTATCTGCTCTGAAAATAAGAATTGGCTGAAACAGAGTTATTTGCAATCTTATTTGTTACTCTGATGATAAGTGAGTGGCAAACAGTTTGAAACTGATTAAATTATTACATGCATAAAATAATTTGCGAAATTAAATTAATGATTAAAAAAGGAATGTGTCATGCATGATTTCTACTGTAAAATGAAATTATAAAGGAAATATGCAGCTAAACTACTGGAAAGAGAAATCAGTATTTTTAAAAAGAAACAGCATACTGTCAGGAAAGGAGTGGGACAATTCTTTCCATATAAGAGATTCACAACAGTATATTTGGTGAACACAGTCACATTTTCAGGTGCTTGGATGGTTGCCCCATCCTGTGTAAAACTGTGTAGGGACCTTAACATAATGTTGAGGAGGAGAGGGAAATAGGAATAAGCCATTTCAGCCATGAAGTCAAACAGACGAAGATATAACTCCAGAGTGAAATTGGTAGAGCGATTATGGCACATCATATGATAGGCAGGGGATGGATTAAAAAAATAAAAAAAAAAAAAAAGAGAGAGAGAGAGAGAGAGAGATAGAAATAGCAAGCAGGAAAGAAAAACCCACCATAAATTCCAACGTCAAAATACAGAAAAAATCTTGAGAATCTAACTTGGTTACACCTACAGTTAGAAGTAGGTGTGAGGCAAACAGTCAGATGCAGTATAATACGTTCTTGGGAGGCTGAAAGGAGGACTGTAAAAACAGGCATTCAATGTGGGTGGAACTAATAAAGGAATCAAAGGTACTTTTGAATGAGTTGGCCAAAAATGTGTAAAATTAAAGAAAACAAAAACAAACTAAATTTGCAAGTAAGATAGTTAATGTGTAATAAAAATATTACCTATGCAGCAAGACTGCATCAGGATGTTTTATATTGAGAACATCTGTAATATCATAGTCCATGAGTGGGATGGATTTGTTGTTATAGTAAGACTAATCTTAATGAAATTTTTTTTAGCTATTCTTGCTGTGAATGCACTATGCGTTCAACATTTAATTCATCATGAATAGCAGAATTTCTCATAAATCATCTGCTTTTAGTAATTTGTCTTAATGTGACATTCTGAAGAGACTGTAGTCTATAAAATTGTGTATCACTAAGAAAATCCCAAACGGGGCAGGCATAGGTGATAGGTGATAATGGGACAGAACATGGTCTTGTACAGGATAAAATTATTGTCGAGATAGAACAGAGTTTTGAGAAATTAGGTTGGCGAGAGGAACGTAGGATTGCCTGAAATAAAGAGAGGCAGAATTGACACTGTTCTGACTACATTAAGTCGTTAAGAGCCATCTAGTGCGTGCACATGACAACTTTTAAAGCGAAAGTTGCTGCCCTGGTATGAACTGACGTATGTGGAAAGCACTTTTCTCCACGTTGCCGCTTTTTGCCCCAACGGACCAGTCTGAATGCAGCTTTAGAGTCAAGGAACTATGCCAATATAAAAAAAAGTGCCTAGCAACATGATTTAATGGAAAAGTACCTAGAAATTAATATCACAATAAAATTATTTTCTAGGTTTAAGCAGCAGTCCAAATAGTCATCAGCAAATGGCATTTATATATTTAAATAATAAATTATTTTATTGATAAAACTTACTCTGAAATTTCCCCAAATGTATACTTGACCAGATTCAGCCAAAGCTGCCGAATGAGAATCTCCTGCAGATATCTGTATCACTCTTTCTGGTATCTCTACTTTGCTAGGAATATATTCAGAACCTTCCTCTGTTGTGATTCGACCTAAAGCACCTTCATCATTACACCCAAAAGTTATGACCTAAAAAAAGTATATTATATAAGTAAACAAAAATATTTTGGCAATAAAAATTTGCACATTAATTTATTTTCCTTTTAAATTTCAAACAGTAAGACTTCTGTTTTAAGACAGTTGTGAAAATTTCAGGTAATGAAAAATGCAAATTAAAATCCTGATTAACTGGGGTAATATCACTTAAAATACCATTTAGTGATGAGATTGCTTGCTTTGCACTCACTGGTTGATATAGGTTAGAGAACAGGCAATGAGGTTCTCATTTGAGAACTCAAGCATGATGTGTTCAGACACACACAGAAGTAGTCCACCTTAGCACTTTACAAAATGGCCAAATTTTTAGACAAAATGGCCTTTTATGGGTAATCGGTGATAAAACTAAGCAATTTCAGGTGCTAAAAATAGAGGGCAAATAATAAAATCCCGAGCTGGGCTACATAAAAATCATACGAAATTTGAAAAATAAGATAAAACTGGGAGAAATACACAGTACAAAGTCCAAAATCTGGAACGATCTCATATAAATGCTTGTGAGACAATTGGAAGATGGGGACTCCCTAAAAAAAACACACCCTTTAAGTCTAAAAATGGAGAATGGAATAACAAAAGGAAACAGATGTGCTATAAATGGGATTTTCCCCCAGAATGAAATTCCTGCATGCCACTTTCAAACACCTGTTGACAAGGGAGTTGCACCATAATCAGTAACAGTGCATTGAATGACATTGTATTGATGGGTGCTATCTTTGTGGGTTCTAAATTCTGCTGCTTGGTACATTCCAAGATTCTAAAAATTTTGCTCCATGCCTAAATTTTACTGCATAGTACCTCTTAAATTCTGCTATCTGATTTTTGCACTTCTACATTCTGAGAACTAATGCGACTGGACTGGTTGCACCTGCTGTTGTGCTGCGAGCAGTTAGCATTTTTCTCTATGACCTAAACCAGGGTTTTTTAAACTTTTTTCAGTCATGACCCCTTTTTATTACTGAGATTTTTTCACGACCCCCCAGGACCTCATAATATTTACAAAAATTTTGTGAGACCCCCCATAAGTATTATGCAAATCCGACACACACGTGAGTGAAACTGTCAATTTTTTTACTTGTACTGTAATATACTATTTGCAGTTTTACGCCCTTAACTTTAATTTCTAATTTTTAGATATAGAACAATCTGAAAATTTTAAATAAGTAACAGATGAAATGACAGCGTCACGTGCAAAGTAAGAAAATGAACGTTTATATTATAAAAAGAATGCGCTGAAACATTTTCATTTTTTTTTCTTTGACTGTATTGTCTTATCTTTATCTATTTTCAGATACATTGTGTAAAAATATTTCAGTAAAGTTCATATCTATATTCAGTAAAGTTCATATCTCTGCATATTCAAGAACAAATTATTCATTAAATTTAAAGAACCAAAGTTTTCTTGCAGTAAAAATTTAATAGACACTATAATTAATTCCCTAAATGAAAACAAAACATCCTTATGATACTGCCAGTCAGTTAGATAATACTTTTAATATATCTCGATACTATACTGGATTCTAAGTGTGAGTATCTGAATTAAACGAGTTTGCTGTCGGTCTGAACTTGATGGAAACAAAAGCTGTAGAAATTTGTTAATAGCATATTAAGTTGTCTTCATTTCAACATCTATATCACATTTTCTCACTTTGCTTTGCTATATCCATGGAATATTTTTTTTTTTTTTTTTATCTTGGTGAAAAGACAGAGTGGTCAACATTTGACACAAGACGGCTACTGCCTTTAATGCTGTTCATCTTCTCCATGGAGGTTGTGAAAAAACTAAAAATGACTAGAAGATTTGTCAGCTGATAATGAACAGGAAGTAAATAAAACAATTGTTAAAGGATTAAGTGAAACAATAGACAAGTTTGAAACGATCTTCTGACAAGTCTTTGCAAACGAGTATTGAAATTGTGAACACTGAAGCTAAAATTGTATAGAGAACTGTTATTGAGAGTTGGAACATAATAAGTATTATAGCACAGCTGCAAAATGTGAACATAAGCCATTTGTGGCTTCAAATATTGAAAAAAAAAAAAAAAAAAAAAAAAAAAAAAAACTACCTTTAAGAAACTAGGCACAAATCTAAAGAATATGAATGAAAAAGTTGTTGCAAACATTCAGATTTAAAGTATAACTAGATAATATTAGCCAGTTTCTAAATATGTTGGTTAGTAGAACTAGCCATTTGTTAAGTTCAAATTTTCAGGAACCACAAACAAATATATACTAATAAATAGGTTAAAAAAACTATTCATTAAATTAATCTTTACCACTTATAATACTCAAATTGACAAAAGACCAATTCTTCAGTGCCATAATATTCTAATGGTACATATCAAAGCTACTCTAGTTAAACCATTAACTTATTTAAAACTACAGTTTATTCAAAAGAAATAATTTAGCCAAAATTTTGGCTATAATAGTTTTAACTTCCAGTCAATATGAAGTGCAGTTTGCAAAGCTTTTTGTCCAGATTGCAACTTTGAAAGCAGAATTCCCTTATCTTAAGATTAACTAAAGCAATCCTCTACAGCAGAGTTCTTAATCAAGGGGTAATTTTATTTCAGGGGTGAGGGGAATGCAGTTAGCCTTTTATTTAACTGTTAAGTATTTGGTTTTTGTTTATAAATATTAAAAACTACTTTTATTCAAATTTTGGTGTTCTTAAACATTTTCTACACTTCTTGTTGCTTAATTTTGTAGAGATTATTTTAATTTTCAAACAGTTATTTTAAATTTTGAAACCCTTTCCTTTAAATTCTTGTTTTCCACTCACAACTTCCTGACAGAATGCGATTTCAGTATAGTGTTTTATGTAAATGAAGTAGAACCAGTATTTAATAAGAAGTTCAGCCACTTAGAAGAGCTCAGAAGTTCTCAATACAGCATGTTCTGTCTTCGGGGTACATCGTTTCTTTAAGCTTATCTTACTATGTACAGCTGTAGTCTTATGTGTCTATTAGTATTCGATGGGTAATAAGTTTAATTATGGGCCAACTCGGTTAGTTATCTTTGCACAGCTTTAGCTAAGGTTTAGCTAGCTAGAATTAGTTTAGTTTCTTATTTTAAGTCTTAAGTTAAAGCCTGAGCCCCTTAAGTAAAGTGGAGGCTTTCCTGTAAGCCCGAGAGGGGCCGTCTTTTAGTATTTCTTTGAGTGAATAAAAGGGTATTTTAACCCTTCCTTGGATTTATATTTTATAGTTGTAAGTAGACCAGCGAATAGTCGCTACACACATCCCTAAAGCTCTAGTAGCCAAGGACATATAAATTAATTAGAACTTTAAAAAATCATCTAAATCTATAAACATAGAGGTAAAAATTTACGGTATCCCTTGGCGAATCGTTTCTTTTTTACACCAAGATCAGCGCCAGGAAGGATCAGCACCAATCTCAAGATGGCCGCTATACAAAACGAAAATAAGAAGTCAAACACTTATGTAAACACATCGACCTATTTTAACTTTAAAAAAAAAATCATAATTGCACAAACTAGGCATTGTGCATTGCCTTAACTTTGTCCATGTACATATCGATCTATTTTCACTCAAACAAAATCAGGAAGCTAAAACAAAGTTAAAACTATTATGGTAAATAGAAAAAAATTTGCCACTGTCTCAACACACAGAGACGAACAAATAACCAAAAATACAAAAACAGAGAGGAATAAATAACCAAAAAATACATATTTCCTAACATAAAAACATTAAACAACAAATCTTTTAACAAAAATTAACACACAGAGATGAATAAGTAAATGAGATGTCAATTTTTAACATATCTTTTTTTCACGTGCATATGTTTAGGCTTTCTACCACCATCCTCCAAGTAAGCAATTCAATTAAACAATTTGGCTCAATGATATCTATCAGCAATTAAACCAGCTTTCATGCAAAAATCAAGTGTCTTTCGTCCATGATCCAACCTATACAAAACCCTCAAATTCACAATTTCATCATAATCCAATCCATCAACATCATCCTCTTAGTCACCTCAGACATACTCAAATGATGGTACCCACAGCAAAATAATAGCACGTTCAAAATAAAAGACTATACCATGCACGTGCAACCACACACGCTAATTAAATAGAATGGTAAGAACCAAAAACACGGGTCCATGTGAAAGAGTTACTACAGTACAAAGTCCGAGATCCGGACTCGGGACTTCGGTGATTCTAGATTTGGGATTTTTCCGGATATTAGATCATCAGTCTAGTAAGATGGCATGTAGAAATTACAAGATTAAAAATATTAAATCGTGATTTATGAAATAATGAAGTATTTACGATCTAAAGGCTATCAAAATTTACAAAAAAAAAAAAAAAAACTTAATACTTATTTGTTTACTTTATTAAACTTTTTTTTCAATGTAAGTTGTTTAAGTTGCTTCATTTTTTGTGCTAATACTTTGTCTTTAATTCTATAAACAGACATAATTTCTTGTTTATTTACAAAGTTCTATTGTTCAAGTTCTGTAACTGCTGTGTCGAGAATTCCGACTAACTTGTCAATCAAAATTTTTCGTTTTCAATAACCTCTCTGTCACTTTCAATACTATCAGCAGCGGTATTTTCTGGATCTAGAACCATACTACAAATTTCACTGTCCTTTGATTGAGTGATGACTGGGCATTGTCATAGCAATGAAAAACTTCTGTTATATCATCTTAATTTATTACCACTTCTCTACATTTCTTTACAAAATACACTAATTGGAAAATTTTCCTTTTGGTTTGCAATATTCGAAAACCTTCAAATTTGCGGCTGTCATCTTCATCATCCTCACCATGTTATAGGGTATCTGACCATAATTTATGCCAAGCATTTTTTAATGAATCTAAAGACGCATCATCCCACGATTTGCAATGCTCCACACAGCAGATTTTATGCTAAAATATTTCAGAAATTCTTGAATAGTCTTACCATTATTCGATAAATTTAACACGGATTTAAAAAATTCTACTTTATATTTACATCTCAGCAAGCACACTATTCCGATATCCATAGGCTGAATGATGGACGTAAAGTCCATCAGACTTTCTTCCTTTAAAAGGAGGAAAATCTTTCTTCCTTTAAAAGCACGAGGTCATGTATTTTTTCCATTACAAAATGTTTACACTTTTGCATTCATGGATCATTTGCACATACTAAAATTGTTAGCCTTGCTTTGGAATCTTTGACACCAGTTGGAGCCTTTTCTGTAGAGGTTTCCAAGGTATTTCGTGGTACATATTGCCAGAAAAAACCATTTTTATGAGAATTATAAATTTGTTCTGCGATATCTTTTCACTGTTAATGAGTTCAATGAATTCATCTGCAAATAGATCAGCAGCTTCAGTATTTTTCACCTGAAGTTTTTAATTGCCTTATACCAAGACAATTTTTAAATTTGATTAACCAAATATGTGCACTCAGTTTTTAGGTTCATTTCTTCATGAGATATTTTGGTTTGAGCCATTAGTATTGGACTTGTCAATGGCACGCCCTCGCTGCGACGCTGTCTGACCCAATCAAAATTGATGTCATGATAGTTGCTTTTAGCATACCAAATAATTAGTTGATTTTCCAATGCCATACTCCTCGCATAATTTTGAGATAGATATACCTTTATCCATTTTTTGCAGTAATTCCAAATTTTGTCTAATGGGCATCGAAACATGCTTTTCCTGTTGCAGCTCCAGAATTAGAAACTCTTTTCGACATAATTCAAAGTTCAAACTTTAATTTTCATAAAATTGCTGTATTAATAACAGCCAGCAAAAAATAATAAGCTGAATAAAATCAGAAAGTTAAGGAAGAGTGCAATCTGCTATATTAATTGAAATTTTTTGAAATCAGTAAAGTATAATTTTAGCCTAGCTTATTAGCACCTGCTATACATTATTCGCTATGTATCATGAGACAGACAATGAAAGTCAAGTTGTTCTGTTAAATTTTGTCTTGCTTCTATCGCAGACTGAGACAATTAAGCCTGAATTGTATTACCTTTAGTTATTTATTATACCTATGTCTATTTCTTGCATATGCTTAAGGCTTATCTGAGTCCTGAATAAATAAATTGCTACATATACTTAAGGCTTATCGGGGTCCGGCCCTAGATATCTCACTGCCTGATGCAGTCTCTGCGGGTCCTAAGTTCCACTCTTTTGTCATGTGACCAAACACATACGTCATTAAAACAGGTTTCGAAAATGGAAAAAAATTTGAGAAACTATTGTTATGAATTTCTTTTGTATTATTCCAAATAAGTAAACATCTATGAGTAAAAATAAATGATTTTTTGCATCGAGTCATACTGACCCAAACGATACATTAGGTATAAATTTAAAAATATTCCTTCGAAATACAAATAAACATAAATCCCTCTAGGAGTACATATTTATATTATTTATTTACCAACAATGTCAAGAAGTTTCAAGAAAATATCCCTGTACTATATTTTTTTTATGAACGTATAAATTTTATTTTGAGTCATATTGACTTGAACAGAACAGCAGGGTTAAATAATCTAATCTAAAATTACATTACAATGTTGTTAAATTTCTAATTTTAGAAATCTAGAAATGTAACAACATACAAAAGCTTGTTCATATACTGAAAATTTATGTATCCTTTTCAATGAATTAAAAAATATAACGGAATCAATATCTGTATTTGAATGAATTTATTAAACATATCCAGCTCACACACCTCGTGATTGTAAAAAAATAATGAAACACATGTTAAATTTATAGAAAATAAATTTGGATTATTTAGATAATTATTGGGCAAGCCTGTAAGAAAAGATGCCTTGGTGGCAGATAATCTACAGGAAAATGGTCTTTTATTTCAATCAAACCAACCCTCAGATAAAATTAATTTGGGGAACTTAAAATCAATTTCTCCCTAGTTTGAAATAACACTAAAAATTTTCATATGTATGGTGGCAACTTAACAGTATAAAAAATTCTGAAACTAATAAAAAATAAATTGTGCAGTGCATTGACACAAGAGAATTTAAATTTACTATTATCAGCCTGCACTGAAAGGCACATTTTAAAACTTTAAAGGAATTTTCAAGGAAGAAATTTTACCCAAAACTTACAGGAAATTAAATACAGTCAAAAGTCGTTAATCCGGACTCATAGGGACTTCGGCGATTCCGGATTATAGATAATCAAGTTTAAATCTGGTAAGATGGAATGCAGAAATTATACAATTAAAAATATGAAACCGTAATTTATGAAATAAAGAACAATTATAATCTAAAGGGTATCACATTTACAAAAAAAAAAAAAAAAAAAAAAAAAAAAACTTAATATTTATTTGTTTTACTTTATTAAACATTTCTTTCAATGTAAGTTGTTTAAGTTGCTTCGTTTATTGGATAACACTTTCTCTTTAATTCTAACAGACATAATTTCTTGTTCAGTTACAAAGTTCCGCTGTTCAAGTCCTATAATTGCGTGTCGAGAATACCGACTAATTTGTCAATCGAAATTTTTCGTTTTCAATAACCTCTGTGTCACTTCTTCACTATCAGAAGCGAATTATAATGACGAGGAATTTGATTTAAATCTATCAAAGACGAGTACATCAAGATGAAATACTACATTTAGTAAGGAATTATAAGCCAAATAAAATAAAAACATCTGCCCTGAAGATAAGGAGAGTGCTGACAGATTAACTTCCAATTCATTGCACGCCGCGGCGTCCCCCTTCAGAGTAGCGTGAAATTGATAAACAGATTTTGAAATGGTTAGAGAAACAAAGGATATGCCTTTATCCATTTTTTGCAGCAATTCCACTTTTTGTTTGATAGACTTCGAAACATACTTCCGCTTTGTAGATCCTTTGGGAGCTCCAATCGGAAGTCTATTGACATAATCGAAATTCAAGCTTACTTTTAAAAATTGCTAACAGTCTGCAAAAATAAAAGCCGGATCCATTCAAAGATTAAGGAACAACGCAATTGCAACATAATGAAATAGATAATTAGATAATTTTAGCTATACCGTCCGTTATACATTAAATGTGCATGCGTAAACGTATTATGTGCATGCGCACACGCACAGCCGTAAAGGTCTTACGCGCATGCGTAAACGCCAAAAAGCGACGCATGCGCAGAAGGTTTGTAGCTTTGAGGTCCAGATTATAGATCATTCCGGATTATGGGTGTCCGAATTAACGACTTTTGACTGTATATATATCCCATTTTTGCAAATGTATTACTATTTTTGATAGGACTGCTGCAAGTAAGGGCACCTACAACACTGCACAAAATGCTTTGTGGTAACAACAGCATATTTTTTGATTGACTTAAGGAAGAAGTACATGATGGATTTATAGGAATTAAATACAAAATTATCTGTGTTTTCCTACAGGCTAGACATGCAAGCATTAGCTATAACTAGGTTAAATGCTAAAGCACAGGCTATTATTAACATTTATGATGATTAATGCCTTGTGGTTATGAAAAGTGTGATGCTTAAGCAATAGTGTGAAGGTATAGGTTATATACCAATAATTACATTATATTACATTCCATGATTGTATCAAATATGTGTTAGTACTTACTTCACCACTTTCAGTTAAACACACTGAATGCATTCCACCTGCTGCCACATCAATAACAGACTGAGATAATTCAAGAACAGTGGGTCTTTTTTTAACTTCAATGTCTTCACCAAGTCCCAGCTGACCAACATCATTTTCCCCAATTACAAACACTTTGCCTGATATTGTTTTTAGAGGAGGAATCTCCAGAAATACTGAAAATAAAATGTTTCAATTTTAAAATTTAAACAACTAAATCAGGGGGGATTGCAATCCCATTTTGAAATCCTGAAAACTGTGTAGTAAAGATGTTACATGATTTTTAATAATTACATCAATACAAAATAATGTTACAGAACAAAATTAGTTTGTATTTCCTAACATTATATCTAACAGTTGCTTACCTTTTGGTTAACACGTTGAGCGCGGCGCCTGACGACCGGCAGTGAACTTTCCGTGTGGCAGGCATCCGGAATTTTCGTTTGGCTGGCGTCGGTCCGCGGGACTGACAGTATTAAAGTTAAAAAATAAATATAGTCTCAATGAAATATGATCAAATTTAGTTTTAATGAAATGTATTGAAACATTCTAAACAAAAATGCGGCTTAGCTCGCTGCCGGCTGAACGGTAAGGACAGCAAATTTGGCGCCCCGCTCAACGTGTTAATCAATATTTTAATAATAACTACTGTGTTTAGCGAGCTTTCTTTTTGATGATGGTTTGATTTCTTGAAAACGCTGCACTAATACTTATATTTTTCTTTGCTAACAACTGAAAGTTCAGTAAGGCATTCTTACATTTTATCTTTTCACTTAACTCTTTAGATATTAGATTAGAACTTGAAGTATGCATATTAATAAGTGTTGGAGATGAGGGATTGCTAGAAAAAAGAGAATGGTCCATTAATTTGGTAAACTGTCCAGCAAACATTCTGTCATCATATCACTTTACATAATTAAATAAACTTTCCATAATGGATATAGTGAACAAGTTGAAAGTATGCCGAACAACAGATTTAATCAGTTTTATCAATACTGGGTATTTCTGCTTTTTATCTACTTTTAGCCTGAATTCTTCAGCTCCTACCCACCTTTTCTCAATAATCTAAAAGTTTTAAATTTATGTAATCTCTAAATGATATTTTTTCTAAAAGAAAATGTAAGAAAGATAAGTATATATTACACATAACCAGCAATTTCGAATTTCAGAAGCTTAACGAATCCAGAATTCTTGCTATATCCAGATCACAATCAACCTTGATAAATAAATAAAAAACAACCAGAATAAGTTTTTACAGGTATGTTTAATTACATAACAATTAAGCATTCAATTTGCTGCTTTTAAATTATTTTTAAATTTAGAAAATCTATTTTTCGCCTTTCAATTTTTAACCCTTTGGGTACATTTGACGAGTGAGATTCGTCATCTGCTTACTTGGGTGAAGTTACAGTGGATGAGTCTGACTCATCATCTGAATTTAAGAAACAAGCATTGATGTTTGTGGCATCCCCGCTAGTGGGTGCTGATCACAAACAATTGCCTGACATTTGTTTATGACATCTTACAGTTGCAAATAAGGTTAGTTCCACTTACCTTTATTATTACCTGTGTTTTCGATGTCTGAAATAAAAATTTTATTTTATGACTGCGAAAATAATAGTTCCAATGAAGTAGAGCTGTATGTTAACAGTGGTTACAGTGACTTGGATAGTGAAAATGATGAAAAGGATAAAGAATTGGAAAGTTGGTTCTTGTTCTACAAAAATATTTCTATTTTGTTTCATTTATACATTTATTTATATTTTGTAACTAAAATGCTGTTTCAAAAATAATATTTATATCACCAATATAAGTATATTCTAAATAAAATGTATTACTTTTACATATTTTAATCCATATAGCGACAAATTAAATCTGTCCCATGGGCATTAAAATCCTCAAATAATTTAGTACTCCAAGGGTTAACAGCACTTTTAAATTCCAAAATTTAACTTGTAGGGAATTTATTTAATACAGAAAGTGAGTCTAATATGCAAGAGGTATCAAAAAAGTAAAATTCATTAGCAAATGAGACCTCCATAATGAACAATGGCAATGATGAACATACAATTTATTCCTCATCTACAAACAGAACCCAATTTTTGCAGGAATAAACTCTAAAGTAAATAGTGTCAAACTGATAGCATGAAGGCTGAATCTGGCCTCTGAAGCAATTTTACTTAGCCTATGAATGCATTTCAACTATGTATTTGTTAAAAATGTAATTCTTATTTACACTTTTAGAGACATAAAAAAAAAAAGCTCATCAAGATATTTTGCGGGTATCAGATTTATTACCTTCCTCGCATATAATTTAATAAAAAGGTGCAAGTTTTGTAGACAAAACCTATGTACGAGACTGTTACTGAAGGGGGGGGGAGAAAAAAAAAGGACAATGAATAGATTGAGGCATGTATTTATCATTACATAATATAATTTATAATGATTTTTATAAAGAAATGAAAAAAAGCAAATGTTTTGGAATAAAAATTTCTGGTAACAGCTTATTATTTGAAATGAGAAATACTGCCTAGCAGTTTTAAACTAATTCTTCTTTCAAAATGTTGCATGTAATGTAATTCAAAATGTTGCATGTCGGTGGATAAATTTTTGCAATTTTCAAAGAGATATATTCCTATTCCATTATTTAAAAAATTGTGAAATGCATAGTATTAAAAATTCTAAGTGCAAAATAAGCAACATTATTAATTACAAAGGGAAAAGTTCTCAGTCATTACTTCTACATGAAAAGAAGACTACAAATGAATACCCGAAAAAAGGTATGTACAGTTCCCAAAGTTTCTTAAATCATTGGTAAACAGAATAATCTGCCAATGCAGAAATCAATTCCATAGCCTCTATATACATCTGTATCAATAATAAATAAAATAATAAAACCAAAATTGGTTGATCTTTGGATTATGGTAACTTGGCGATTTTTTGGCGAAAATTTGGCGACCACGCTACAGCAACCTCTATTTTTTTGCCACCATTTGTCGAAAGTAGTAAAGACATGTTTCTTTTTTTTCTTAATATTTACACCAATTTCAACAGCCTACCGAATTACACTTATGAGAAATTATGTAACAAAATGCTTAATCACGACAAATATTACTGCAAAAATTGGGAAAAAGTGCACAATCCCCAACTCCTTGCGCATTTTCAGAAAGCACATACACGTAAACCAGTTACACGTCGACTTATTTACAAAAAAAAATCCCGAATTGCCAAAAATGGCATTGCACACACTCTTAACTTTATCCATCCACACTGCTATTTTGTCATAAATTAAAAAAATTGCACAATGCAAAAAAATTTGTAATCTTTAACTTGGTAAAAGCACATATATGAATTACTGATCATAAAAGTATATATCCTTTCCAGGGATGAACATTTCCACTTATAAAATAAATAAAATATCCAAAAAACTTTTACCTCGAAATTATAATTATTATAAATGTCACCAACGAATTCATACCGCAAACTTACAATGGTTACAAAACTTATGTCAATATTTAAATTATTTCCATGCACTTTACTTTAACTGAAACGTATACCAATTCCTACAAACATAAAATCACAAAATAAACTATATTTAATTAAATATCAACCATGTACACGTCGACTTATTTTTACTAAAAAAACATCCAAATTGCACAAAAATGGCATTGTGCACACTCTTCACTATATCCATGTACACTGCTTTTTTCTCATAAATTAGAAAAATTTCACAAAATACATGAAAATTTGTGAATCTTTAAATCCGGTAAAAAGAAAATATATGAAATTACCTGATCGCGAAAAAGTATATACCTTTCCAAAGATGAACATTTCCACGTATAAATAAATAAAATATCCAAAAACTTTTACCTCTAAATTATCTATTACATTATAAACGTCACCAACGAATTCATACCGCAAACATGACAAATGTTATAATACTTAGTGTCAAATATAAATTATTTCCATGCGGTTACTTCACGAACGTATACCAAATTTCCTACAAAAATCACAAAATAACGATCATAAGAAAGATAATTAAAGTCAAGGTACAACCTAATTACGCCCTAATTTCACCAAATGTGGCGATATGGTTCGCGTGGTTTTTGGCATGATTGCGTGTTCTATGCAACCCTGTTGACGTTGAAAAATCTTTCGCTGGAGTCGTTGATTCCTTGTTTTGAGAAGATGGGAGATACTGATAGATACTAGATGAGAAGAGGGAGATACAAGAAAATGGTAGTTGTTGAATTGAAGTTCGGCAAAAGGAAATATCATTGTGGCTATCCTGTTGAGGGGTAGGGGGTATTTGGAAGTTGGAAAGCGGTCGGGAGATTATTTTTAATGGCAGTGCATGATAGAATAGGGATTCTGATTTATTTATTTTGAACCATAGTATAAATTTTCTGGATAGTGTGTCTGCTCATGAAATACGAATAGTGATTACGTGGCGGCATTTAAAGGCGGTATGAAATTTATCTTTCTGCTATTCGAAAACGCATTAATCATGTAAGTGCATCCTTGTTCATTTTTAGAATGTATGTTCATGGTTCTGTAGTATGAATTTCTGTCGTTATTGTTGTTTTTTAATTGTTGAAATTTATTTTAGTTTATTTGTTGTTTAGTGTCTAGAGTGCAATTCATAGGGTTTTTATAGTTGAAACGAACGCTGTGTACTGGTATTTGAAATTATGTTGTTATGTTATTTATTAAGCGAGGAGTGCGTAGATCGGATTCCTTCCTTGCTAAATTGGCAATGTGTAGAATTTTTAAAGTGTTAACAGTGCCTGTGTACATGGTATTCTTTGAAATATTGGTGTTATGTTAATTTATTAAAGCGAGTGTGCGTAGTTGTAGATTGTTCGTTGCCTACATTGTGCCAGTCGTAGATGTTTTTTTAAGTTAAAACAGTCGTGTGTACATGGATCTTGTCAAATTTTTGGTTAGAACTTTACGTTTTTGCTATCTAAATTTTTGTTTTTGGTTTTTAGCTAAATTGTATTTGAAAACATTTTTTGCATTGTGCAACAACCACATTTTGGGAACATTTCAGGCTAAAGTTCGAAATGTAGACAAAATTTAGATGTAATATGGCAACATGAAGTTCTCGCCAAAAATATTTAGCGACTTGAGGGCGCATATCAGAGTAGTTCCAAAATCAAAAACACTATTAAAATTATAAAAAGGCAATACATTAATTAATAAAAATTAGCTACAATCCTAATATTTAAACTAAATCATGGCTAATAACAAGTTCCAAGAATACCAGATACTTTATTACTCCGTACTGTAGAACAATGCTAAAATAATATCCTCAATAAGTAAAATATAACTTACAACTTCTTCAGAATTGATTGATGGGTGGATAAACTTACTAAATCAGGATTTTAAAATCAACGTATTAGTTCACAGCGGTACCAGGTAAATAAATAAATTAAAAAGATATTTACTTCATTTGCACACCTTAAAAAACACTATACTACACCTTCATCCCACTAGACTACCCATTTGAATTCACTTGAGCGGGGGCGGTGGGATCCAAAGTACTAGTACCAACAGGTCACACAACACAGATACTCTAAATACAAAATTTCCAGATTTTGTCCAGATTTCCCCCGTTCTCGAGAAAGAACGGTAGGCGGCCGTAAGTCCATGACATTATTCAGGTCTCTCATTTCCTCACCAAAATAATGTGGAGCGGACGAGTACTTCTCACAGTATGACCACAATCCAGATAGTAACCTTTATCGCCTCCAAAATGTCCCATACTACCAGTTACCATATTCCAAAGATCAGCCCCAAAATTTATAATTTAAAAAGTTAAAAAACATAATGTTCTTCAGGTTTTGCTAAAGCACATGGCTCAATGCAAAACAATTTGTCGAACCCTGCATGAAAACTATTTAGCAGGAGATAAATGGAAATACATTGTGACCCTTTATAAAGCATGGGTTTATCTTAATAACTTGGGGAGAGGAAGACGGTTATTTATTATTGAAAAAAAAAAAAGAAAAAAGAAAAAAATGTACAAACCTAGTTCCATCGATGCAAAGAAGAGTTTCAGTTAAAGGGTAGAAATAAAAATAAGAGTGGGGAAAAAGTTAAATTCTACTCAACATACTATCAAAACAATTTAATATCTGATATTTACAGAAGAAATTCTATTTCTTTATGGCACTGACTTTCACGGAATTAATCCTAATGAAAACAAATCAACAAGTCACATTTCAAAAAGTACCTCTGCATTTTTGAAAAAATGAAGATTGATATGAATATTGCCTATATACCTTTTAAACATATTCATGGGAAGTAACCTGATGTTTCACCTATGGATTAATGTGGCTCTGGACTCTTGAAAGAAGAATGGAAATCAATATTACTAGACATTTTATGAAAAAAACTCCTATCATGGGAACCAAAATGCAAAAGGCTATCGGATCAAATACTTAAATATGCTCTTTATATTTTAAGCATTAATTAAATGGCCCGAAATCATTCCAGAAACATGCAAATACCCTCTGTATTTGCATCAATTATCTAGTACATTGGAGGAAAAAAAAAAAAAAAACACTGAAGTGGGGCTTCTGTAACAAGTTTTGCCATTAGCTTTAAATTTTGTTAATCGAGCTCTGTCTGCAGATCTTCATGACCCGTCATTCTGCATGTTTAAAGTAATTTAAAAAATTCAACACAGCATAAAGATATGATATGATGCTTGAATGCAAGGCCTGTAAAACTAGTAAATATTCAGAGTTAACTTTCTAAGGTGCAGAGGTATCACGGGAAAAGCAAAAGAAAAAAAAAAAAGGCTCATCAAGATATTTTGCGGGTATCAGATTTATTACCTTCCTTGCATATAATTTAATAAAAAGGTGCAAGTTTTGTTAAAACAAAAAATTAAATACCTTTAAAAACAAAAACACACACACAAGAGAAAAAAAGTACATATGATAACCTTTATAGATTTTTTACTATTAGATATAAAAATAGGAAGCAACTGATTATAGCTAGCCTTGCAGTCAATCTGCCTAAACATGTTAAGATTTTTCAGGTAATGATAAAATCCTATTTATGACAGAAAACATGAAGTGCATAGTTTTCAATCTGATGATGCATAAAAAATCTTTAACTTTGCTAATTTTTCCTTCGTACCAGGTACATCATATATGCAAATGTTATCTTATGGCCGGCTGAGTCATATATGAAATGCTGTTTAAATTCACTTTATAGCTGGGTGTATCACATATGAATTTTTAGATGGAAAATTTAATATTTTTTGTTACTACTAGATGTAGCTGTATGTTTATTACTATGAAATTTATTATTTAAGTGAAGTATGACGCATTAAACTTACTGAGTAAAAATTAAATCTTTGCAATGATTTTTGGCATTTTGTTTCAGAATGACAGCAAAGTTTGTAGGTTTTAAACAAGATTATAGCTCTTTAATGTGACAGTTGATATAAACATAAACATGTAGTTCTAGATGCTTCATAACATTTTTTTTTCTGCAATATAGTGGGGTAGATGTTCAATCATATCAGAGGGTGTATTTATTCCTTTTAGATTCAATCTTCAGAGGGATAATTTGTATCATTTAGTGAACTACTTTTTATGACTAAATGGCAAAACAAAAACAGTATTTAACAGAAGAGGAGCATACATGAATGATAAATGAGTCTTTTTCTGACAATGATGACAGGAATGATATATGTGGTGCAGAATTGAAAAGTGACAGTTATAGCAATTCTAATACATATTAATTTAAGATAAGTCAAAAATTATGCATGCTGATTTTTTTATAAAAGAGATTTTTAATAATTTTTATTATTATTAATGTGTTAAATAAAATCTGTGATTGTTTATATATTTTTTCCACATATATTTATTTACGTCCAAAAATTATATTACTCTAGAATTGATTATTTTATAAAATTTTTATGGAAAACATACTGATAAAGTTTTAAAATTAGTTCTGATAACTATCTGAGAGCTCCTCTCATAATGAACCAAAATTTGAAATATCCAAAGTTAAGTTTAGCAATGCAAATTGCCCATCCCTAGTTTGGTGACTGATATGCCCAGCAGGAAAGCGTTATAAAAATGCACTTTTTATCAGTATGTAGAAGTAAATCATTTAAAAAAATTACCTTATATTATTAATTCAATAAATCAAATTTAATTATGCCTAGTATTATTTCTGTATGCTGTTATTTGCAATAAAAATCAGACGGTGGGGACGAAATTTTGTGATAACATTTAGATAGGAAATCTTTCTGTACATTTTTTACTCCTTTATTCAATCAATCATATACAGTTTTACACTTAAAGCTTGAGTATTTTTTTTTCCATATCATGTATAAAAGAAATATGAAAGAAAAAAAAAAATGTGGGGAAAGTGCAGAATCACCCGCTGCTTCGCACGTTTCTCAAAATCACCAACTTGAAAATAACAAGTCGAAGAATTGCACAAACTCGTTATCCATGTACACATCGACTTATTGTCACTTAAAAAAAATCAGAGAATTGCACAAACTTGGCATTGCGCACTTCCTTGACTTTGTCCACGTACACATCGATACACACCATATAAGTGGACGATTCTGCACTTTACCCAAAAATGTGGTTTAAAAATTACTTTTAAAACTGAAATTTTCCGCGAGTTACAATTTTATTCTACACAAAAATAGTCTTATCAGCTTGCAACAAGTGATATTTTGTTTGAGATATTTAATAAAACATTTTGCTGTGTGTAAAGGAGGAAAAAAAAACAACCCACAAATGTAACACAACTTTAAAAATTTGTTATGGTAAAAACTTTTTGAAGCTACTCAACTGCAATTTAAAGTATCCCCATATCCACTTTTTTTTTTTTTTTTTCTTGTAGATGACTTTCTTCAGAAAATCTGCTTCCATTACATACCTGAACTTCATAAATAACCCAATTCTACATCAAGAATCCAAATATGTACAATCAAAAATCAATTCATTTTATGTGTATTTAGCATGCATTCAGATCATTAATTAAACAACTTACAATGTGTTATATAGAATTTATAACATATTAACAAGTTAAAGAAAAAAATTATTTTTTGAGGGTTAAAAACATTCTAATTACCTTTTGGTCGCTTTGCCTTTGATTTAGTAACTATTGTGACTTCTCTTGAAGTGCTGGGAACATCAAGCTTTTTTTCTTCCACAAACTTTCTTTTCTGTGATTGTTTTACATATGTTTTATTAGCTTCTTCAGATTTTGGTTCTATAATTTCATCTGGCACTGATTCTTGTGTTTCTTCAGCAGAAATTTCTTTATCTTTCGTAACATGTTTTTTCTCCAAGTCTTTGTCAGGATATCCATTCTGTAGCGAGGATGCTTTTTTAGCCCCTGTTCCTTTTTGGACAGTAGCTTTAGGTTTTAAACTAGATGATTTGGCCTTTGATTTCTGAGTTCTTTTAACCATATTGCCCAAATAAGTATGATTTACAAAACAAACCTAAAAGAGAATTAAAACTAATTAACTAAATGTAATTTAATATTACATTTAGTTACAGGGGCAACAAATATGTAACAAGTTTAAATCGTTGATATTTAACACAGCTAAAAATATATTAAACACTATATACAATGCAATGTGTAGATTTTGGAAAGAAATACAAACGCTCTAAAATATTTAATTTGCAAAAAATTACTATCCACATTTAAATTATAATTGAGGATACTGTGTACTTAAAATGATAACAAATATGAATGTTACTAAGCTTTACAATTGTTATAAAAATATATCACATGATATTCCCATATATTCAAAATAGGCTTAATATTAATTAATTTCACGGAATTTGTATAACATTAACACAAGACGAGAACATAACAATTTAAATACAGATCAAGTTAAGAATACAGGAAGATGTTCATACAATTTATCAGAATCAAACCGCATATATATGACGCTTAAAAACTAACCACGTCTTTTACGAATTGCACACGGTACCGCGCTGTAAACATTCAAAAGGCTACAGTGGTTGCCGTTTATAATTTTATAAATCAAGAAAATAAAAATATAAAATT